GCCACACCCCTTATCTTCTGGTAGGAAAGATCTACACCTAGCCTTCTCGGACAAGGGCGAAAAATCTCGGAGGGCCCGTGTGCAAGTTGCGCACATTAAAGATCCCTTGGTGGTCTAAAATCGATAAGAGTTTTTGCCCCTTGTTCAGTTCTTTTAAAAGACAAGGAGAGTTTTCTCTATAACCAAACAAATACACACCAATGAAACCAAACTTCTCCTATAGGTAGAGCAATGTCCACTTTTGGAGTAGTTCAAAATGTCTTAAAACCACCGAAATCTGGGTTAGCCCGCGTGTCCTTAAAAGCGACCATTTACAGGTAAAGAATTATGATTATTATTATTACAGTAGTATTAATGATGATGATGATGATGATGATGATGATGATGATGATGATGATGATGATGTTATCTTCTCAGCTACAGAACAGACAATGGATCGAAATGGCACCGAGGCTCTTCCAGGTAAGTGACACCCTACGTCAAACAAGGTCTCACACACTCCCAAGTCTATATGGTCGACTTTAAGGACAAGCGGGCTAACCCAGAAAATATACCAAAAATGGGCTTTGACCTGCCTATAGAAGAAATTTGGTTTCATTGGTTGGTATATTTGTTTGGTTATAGAGATAACTCTCCTTGTCTTTTAAAGAAACTGAACAGGAGTCCCAAAACTTTACCTTCGATTTTCACAAAACAACATATTTCGGGATAGTCCCCTTGTGCTTAAAAGCGACCATATTATAGTTGGCCAGCCGTGTAGATGTACCAAGCCACAAACTGTTGCGAGGCAGCGTGGTGAAATCAGGCGCTCGTCAAAATACAGAAAAAAGAGAAACAGACGTTTTTCCGCCAGTTTGGAAAATGTTATTGATTTTTTATTTTTTGGCTCAACCTCTTTTTTGTCCATATAAAAACACATTTCCGTGGGAATTTTACTGAAAAACATTGACTAAAGGTACCAATATGTCATTTTTCTGTTTTCAAGGACTCTTTAGCTTTGGGAGTTGACAACATTTGGCGGCCATTTTTTCGCTAATTTCGACACTGAAACAAAGCAACCTCACTTCCTTCAATCGCAAATATCTTGAGTTCTATTCAAGATTAATGGATATTTTTGTCATTTGAAGCAAGGCAAATAAATCAGCTATCAGATGATTCCAATAACGTCACATGCCCTAAAATTGACGAGCGCCAGATTCCACAACGTCGTGACACATATTGATTTTTTTTTTTTTACATTTTAGTTTCTTTGTCTGTGGTATTGTTTGCATGTGCTCGAGAGATATTTTGTAAGAATTCAAAATGTAAGTGTTGAGAAAAGCGAGAAAACTTGCATAAAGTATGTGCTATTGTTTAAAAGATGGAGACCCCCCCCAAAAAAAAAAAAAAAAATAGTTTTAAACATATAGGCCTATAGATATAAATTTCAAATTTTTGTTTTTTGGCTCAACCCTAAGTATGTTCATTCTAAACACTTTTATGTGTGGAATTTATGGAAAAAGATTGATTAAAGACACGAAAAGAGGTAAGTTTGTAGTTTCCAAGGACTCTTAAGCTATGGAAGCCACCAAACTTTTCTCACTAATCTTAGTTCTGGAACCAGGTGACCCCACCTCCTTAAATTGCAAATATCTCGACTTCTATTTTTAAAAAACGGATAGTTTTTTTCACCCATATCGTTTAAGACGTTACCAACAGCTTAAGTCTGATTCCCTGTAAGGATTTCTCTGTTGACGTCTACCCCTTGGCGCTAATATGACCTTATATAGTTTCGAGGGCCGTAAAACCTCTACTAAAACAATCAAAACATTTATTTTAAAAAACAAAAAACTGTTTCTCCCCTGAACAGATCTCCTGTGCAGTAGGGTGATCAACCCTTCCTTCCAGGGTCACACAGGTAAACTAAAACTTTGTTTTTTGGGGGTTTTTTCTTTTAATATTAGAACCATTTGCATTTGCTCTAAAATCATGGGCAAACTTGAGCTTTTATCCTTTCACCTTTAAAAAAATGTTTAAATCTTCTTTCTGTGTATTCTTGTGTTAAATTGTCATTCTTTTTCTTAATTTTTGTCTTATTCTTTACTTCCACCCTTCATTCCATCTAAGCTATCTTTGCTATTGTTCTTGTTTTTAATGTTGATTTTTCTTTACATTTGAATTCACTCATTTCATATTAAGGGTTTTCGTATTTCTTTTCGAAAAGTGCGTTACAAAACCTCTAAAGCCTTTTCTCGTACTCATATTTTAAAAAAAAATAGTTTTTCCATTCATTTGTTTCTAATCAGTATCCAAGAAAAAAAAAAAAAAAAAGAAGGCAAGCCTCGAAATGTCTCGAGGGTGTATATTATTGTACTGTCTTTGTGTACCTGTAGGTGGGTACCGGCACTTGTTCAATACTCCTAGATTTGATGTTCACACTAAATCTGTTCATGAGGTTGACCACGATCACATGACAATTGGTGAAGCAGAAATTGAATTTGCATTTTCAAGAAAAGTTAAGAATCTTGGCACCTGTTTTGATTCCATTTTTTCAGTGTCGGCTGAGGTAAATCATCTGATCAGTGGCATGTATTTAGAAATAGGACAAAATTAATAAAATACGTCATCTGATCAGTACTAAGTATACTGCATTACTAGTAACTAGCTTGATTTTTATTATAAACTCGATTATTGTAACTCCTCGTTATCAGGAATATAATTGGAGAAAGTTAAAAGACTTCAAACTGTCCAAAACAATGTTGCACGTTTAGTTTTACGGAAAAGAAAGCGATACTCTGCTAAACCTCTTTTACGAACATTGCATTGGCTTAACGTTGAGAAAAGAATTGTGTACAAGTTGGCCACCATATGTCACAAATGTTTGAATGATAATGCACCGTCATACGTATCAAATTTGTTGCGACTGTACATTCCAACTCATCAGATGACAAAAAGAAATTTATTTTACCTTCTATGAAACTTAAAACAATGGGTGAAAGGGCATTTGAATAACAAGGCCCCAAGATCTTGAATGCTTTACCAAATACTTTAAGAGGTCAATTTTTTTCATTCATTCAAATGTCAGCTTAAGTCGTTTCTTTTTTAAAATTAATAAGATGAATATTTGGAGTTTGTTTTCTTTTAGTCGGAACACAACGTTTTATGTTACTGTTGTAAGTTGTACTGTATTGTAAAGCCCTCAGAGCCTGTGTACTTAAATCAGAGTTTTGCGCTATATAGTATTACATGTATTATTATTAAGTAGACTGACACAGTAGAATTAATATCATTTTTCTTTTTTCTTGACGCCTTAAGCTGTGCAACTTCTCTTCTTCTTCTTCTTCTTCTTCTTCTTCTTCTTTTTCACTTCTTTTTCTTCTTCTTCTTCTTCTTTTTCACTTCTTCTTCTTCTTCTTCTTTTTCACTTCTTTTTCTTCTTCTTCTTTTTCTTCTTCTTCTTCTCTTTTTCTCCTTATCCTTCTTCTTCTTCCTCTTCCTCTTCCTCTTCCTTTTCCTTTTCCCCTTCCCCTTCCCCTTCCCCTTCCCCTTCCCCT